ACCCAGATTGTTGTTGGGGGCAATATGCTGACTCTGTAAACCGCTTAGAGAGGGCTGAAAGCCCTATGAAGCGGTATATAAGCCTAACTATTGCTCTCTAAAATACCCACCCAGCTGAGATCTGTGTGGTCTCCATCTTGATAACTTGGCTTTCCCCCCAGGCTTTGGATAAAAAAGAATGGCAAAATGGGTAATGCGTTGACTTCTAACCGCTTTTGCTTTTTTCCTGGATGTTTGAATTTTAAATTGTATTTTATTGTTGCTTTTATTGTCTGTGACCATATACATTTCTAAAAAAAATTAATAATGAAGTAAACGTTTAACTTTATTTGTCTCTATCCTTGCATTTGGATTTTTTTTTTTTTAAAAAAGTGCTATAAATTTTTTGGACTTAATCAAGATGACCAAAAAAATTGGAAAAATGCACGGAAAGATTGTCAGAAGGAAGAATTTGGAGGAAATCTGGTTTCAATACTCAATAAAAGGATTCAAGGTATATAAGCACCGTATCAATTAATAAAAGTTTACTTATTTATGAAATTTTACATAATCTTTGGGGTGATTATGTTTTATGGGATAAATATGCCATTGATGAAACCACCTGACTCCTTCTATGGAGGTTACAAAACTAGTTTGAACCCAGAATTTTAAATGAGAAGTTATAATACCTTAATTCATATTTCCCCTTTATTGCTATTGCTAGAACAACTGTTTTCTTCCTCCTTGATTTTCTTACTATTACATAGACATAATGGTAAACCTATATTTGCCCCAAAGCAAATATAGTTATAAAAGTCATTTTTCATCTTTAAGATAAAATGGAAAATTGTGATTTGATAGAAATTACAGAAGAAAGTTTCAGATGTTCCCTTTCATACTAAAAACAAAGGAGGAGGGAGGGAATGTACCTGCTATATATATTTATAAGAGATGCGAAAAACCTTTGCTTTGCTTTGCATCTTCTCTGTTGGCTATTCATGCTAATACATCTAAGAACAGTCCTGAAAAAAACATGACTGCTTTAACAATTTGAAAAAACAGATGCTTTAAATGTGCTATTGAACAGTCAAACGCATCAGTTTCCAAGTATTTACACAGCCATAATATTTACAGATTTTTACAGTCATAAAATGTGTAAATCATTTAGAGCAGCTTCTGTAATTGAAGTGCTATTATAGATATTGATAACACACCCACACATTTTTTTCTGATTCAGTTGTATTGCTCTAGGATGATTAATCTTTTTGTCATTGCATGCTGAAAGCGCACCTGCACCCCTGCACCCATAATGCAATGCACACACAACCCCTGTGCGCCCCACACACATGAACATGAGACTCCCTGTGTCCCATTTTGGGCCTAGCATGCCTACCTGCAGACTCCTGGGACCAAAAACGGGCTGCAAGGGAGGGTGCCACTCTTCCCTCCATGCATGTGCATGTGACCCCCACCCCGTGCATGCAAGCATATCTCCTGCATGCACCCATCCCCTGCACATGTGCAACAGAGATCCAAAAATCAGCAGGCCACTGGGAAGTACATGTACATGTGCAATGAAGCTGAGCTGGGGCAACGACTTGCATGCCCGCAGGGAGGGTTCTGCATGCCATCTGTGGTTACTATACATTCGCCACCACGGCTCTAGGATCAAAGGGAGATTAAAATATTTTAATCAATACATAAAAAATGTGCTGTTCTACAAATTATAAAAGCTTGAACTCACTTGTGTTAATAATGGAAAATTACTGTATTTTAAAGAAGCATCTCAGTGGAATTATAACATTCAAGGTGTGTTTATTTCTCACAATTTCTAGGTACATTTCCAAACCAAATTTCAAACTTCAGTAACTTTTATTTCACATATTCATTATGCATTTATTTAAGTCTACTTTTCAACATGTTTTAGTTCATTTCATAATTCTCTATTTAATGAAGTATTTGCTTTTGGCTTCATGCTGTCCCAAATGTTAGGTATGTTTACTTTTTCTGCTCACAATCTTCTTTCATTACTTTTTCTTTTTAGCCTTTCTCACCTACCATTTATATAACTTCCAAAGTGATGTATGGATAGGACTAAATGACATCAATGAGGATCAAATGTACCTCTGGACAAATGGAAGAGCAGTCAGTTACACAAACTGGGAAAAAGGATTCCCACTGAGCTATGGACCAAACAGTGTAGGTATTTGACTAAATTTGGAAACTTCTCCTTGTTTTGTCTTTTCCCCTCTCAACTTTTGTTATATGAGTCTGAAATTAGAATCACATGACTAGAAGAAAAAAGCAACACAAGTAGGCAAAATAATGTAATGGAGAACTGTGAGTGATAATTGGTTTGTTTTTATTTGGTTTAGGTTTGAAGGCAGATGTTCTCTTATATACGCAGAGGAGCACACATAAGATACTCCTTTACAGTTTCCAAAACTAGATACCATGATATAAAAAAGATGTTAAGACTCTAGGAAGAGTGCAGAGAACAGTAACAAAGATGATTATGGGACTGGAATGGAGGCAAAAATAAAAATAAAGAACAGGTGCTGGAACTGGGTATGTCTAGTCCAGGGGTCAGCAACCTTAAACACTCAAAGAGCCACAAAGGTCCTAAATGAAAGCCCCCACCTTTCAATTCTGGAGCCAACTGAAAGTGCAGTTCCCTCATCATAGAATCTCCTCCTAGTGCGGCATCCTTTTTCCTCCACCTGTCCTAACCAAAAGCCCTATAAGTTGTGGAGCTGACTAGTGACAGGGAGCCACAGCAGGGGGATGAAAGAGCCACATGCAGCTCCAGAGCCACAGGTTGCTGACCCCTGGTCTAGTCTGATGAAAAGAAAGACTAGGGGTGACATGATTGCAGTGTTCTGATATCTCAGGGGCTGCAACAAAGAAGAGGGAGTCCAATTATTCTCCAAAGCACCTGAGGGCAGAACAAGAAGCAATGGGTGGAAACTAATCAAGGAGAGAAGCAACTTAGAACTAAGGAGAAATTTCCTGNAGGTAGGTAGATGTTTCCAGGTGTATTTATCCATTTGCTGGAGAAGGAAATCGCTGACAAACTGCAGCACCTAAGACTTTGTTCCTGCTGGCACAGCACTTGATCAATGTTTCCCAAGGGCTTTTGCACATATTCATTACAAGGCCCCTTCACATTAATCTTGAGTCCAAATGTCATTCACAAAGTAACAGTCACATAGTTGGAAGATATTTGCTATTTCTTGAAATGGCAGAAGCAGTGTAACATTATCATTCTGCAAGCTCAGTCCATTTTATTCATGTGTGCACCATTGCAACGCATAAATAAAAATGGATAGGGCTTGCCTATAGACACTACTTCTATTGGTTTGGTTCTCTTTGCTCCTCTGTCCATTGGTACCAATATCAGTTCCTGCAGTTTCTTTGGCAACAATAAGGAAACATATTGCCCAAGTGGTTTTCTGGAATATTTTTTGATTTCCCAATAGAGCATGGGTGTCATGCTGTCGTCATGTGATATTTCTGAATATTTTTTTTCCCTTCATGGAGCTGGGGTTTGCCTGGTCTGTGTGTGACACATCTAGCTCATGGGCCACCAGTTTGACACCTCTGCAATAGAGGGTACGTGTCAGTTTACCAAAAAGATCCAATTTTTCAAAAATCAGTCAATCTAGTTAATTTTAAAATATGTAATCAATTTAGTATAATGATTAAGATCTGGTTTAGGAATCAGAAGACTGAGTTATAATTTTTTCCTTAGGCATGAAAGCTGGTTAGATGACTTTGGGCCAGTTCCTCTTTCCCAGCCCAATCCACCTCATAGGATTGTTGTGGGTAAAATAAGAGGAGAAAGGAGTAATATGAATATTCTCCACTTTGAGTTAGTTATAAACTAAGGTGGGATAAAAATCTAATCATTAGTCAAGAATTAGATGCTGCACCACAAAATCGAGGTGAATGTACTTAGAAAAGCACTTGTAAGATTGCTGACTTTTGCAACCACTGCTCTCTTGAGCCGAGGTGGCGCAGTGGTTAAATTCAACACTGCAGTTCAGCAGTTTGGCTGTTCAAATCCCACCAGGCTCA